CACTGTGGTACAGCGCTTGTTGCGGCGCGGCGCTGCCCAGAGGACGGGACCGCAGTGGGCTGTTTCCAGTGCCATCGCCTGGAGTGCGGGCCCCCGGAGCGCGCTGTGGCGGGGATTGGCGGGACGGGGGCCCTGCCATGCCTTATCGGGCCACTGAGATGGTGCGAGTAGCGCATCTGTGGAAAATCCCTGCTGTAGCCGCTGCCGCGTCCAGAAAAAAAGTGACCTGAGGGGTGCTGTGACAGCTCCTCCGTGGCAGGCGCCGGCCAGCGGTCCGTCCTCAGTCTTAATAGATCGCGGTCCTCGTTCCTGCCTCGCCTCGCGGCTCCCCCTCTCGATTGTCCTTTTTTTACGCCTCCTTTGGATTTTTCTTTTTGGACTCGGAACTGGGCGACGGAAGCAATATCGCAGAGACAAACCGGCGGTTGCTCTGTGCGCGTCTGCATCTTATCACCACCGTGTGTCGGATCCCGGCCGGCTGGAATCGGTGACGCTCACTCTGCCGCCCACGCCCACGCCCACGCACCCGCACCAGCACCCGCGCCAGTGGCTCCTCCCACAAGCTAATAAACCCCCGGGTGGTGGCGACGACCGGCTCTCACCTCTGCGACCCCCAGCGATAAAAGTTTCCCGTTGCCGCTCTTCCTCCTTCCTCTCCTCCTCCTCCACCCTTCCGCTCCTTCGACCCGGTTCTTCGTACCCCAAAGAACCTCACACGGAGCCAATTGCACCCGCCCAGCTGCAATGGCTTCCAGGCTGGTCCTCGCCCGGGGCGCTGCCCTGCGGCCGACCTCGGTCTCCGGCAGTTGCATGGCCCGTGGCGCTCTCACCACTGCCGCGGCTCGCGCGCGCTGCTTCTCCCAGAGCACTGCCCTCGGTGAGCCCCTCAGCGCCGAGTCGCGCAGGGCACAGCTCGAGGCCCTCCACAAGGACCCCGTCTACCTGGAAATGAAGAAGTCGCAGCACAAGCAGCCGTGGATGGACTTCACTTCCCGCCACATCGGCCCCCGCGACGAGGATGTCGCCGAGATGCTCAGGGTGCTCGGCCCTGGCGCCGAGACGCTCGACTCCTTCATCGCCCAGGTCATTCCCGAGGACGTCATGCTGCCGCCCCAGAAGACGATCCAGCACAAGACTTACAGCGAGTCGGGCATCGCCAAGGCTTTCAAGGCCATGAACAAGGAGAACGACATCAAGGTCTGGATGAACGGCGGCGGCTACTACCCCGTCGAGGTGCCCACCGTCATCAAGCGCAACATCCTCGAGAACCCGGCCTGGTACACGAGCTACACTCCCTACCAGGCTGAGATCAGCCAGGGTCGCCTGCAGTCGCTGCTCAACTTCCAGACCATGATCTCGGACCTCACTGGCCTGCCCGTCGCCAACGCCAGTCTGCTCGACGAGGGCACTGCCGCCGCCGAGGCCATGACCATGTCTCTCAGCAACCTTTCCACCTCGCGGGCCAAGCGAGAGGGCAAGACGTACGTCGTCTCCCACCTTGTCCATGACACCACCTTCCGCGTCATGCAGGGACGCGCTGAGGGCTTTGGCATCCACCTCGAGATCATGGATCTCTCCGCCCCGGATGCGCACCAGAAGATCCAGGCCCTCGGCGACGACCTCGTCGGTGTTCTCGCCCAGTACCCCGACACCAACGGCGGTGTTCAGAACTTCCGCGACCTTGCCGATGTTGTCCACAAGCAGGGCACCCTCTTCAGCGTCGCCACTGACCTGTCTGCTCTGACGCTTCTCACGCCTCCGGGCGAGTTTGGCGCTGATGTCGCATTCGGAAACTCGCAGCGCTTTGGTGTCCCTCTCGGCTTTGGCGGTCCCCATGCCGCCTTCATGGCTGTCAAGGAGAACAGCAAGCGCCGTCTCCCCGGTCGTCTGATTGGTGTCTCCAAGGACCGCACTGGCGGGCGCGCTCTTCGCCTGGCCCTGCAGACCCGAGAGCAGCACATTCGACGAGAGAAGGCCACGAGCAACGTGTGCACGGCGCAGGCTCTCCTCGCCAACATGGCTGCCATGTACGCCATCTACCACGGCCCCGCCCAGCTCAAGGAGATGGCCGTCAACAACCTCCGATTCGCTCGCATGCTCCAGGCCGCTGCTCAGCACTACGGCCTCGAGGTTCCCACGCGCACTCTCGACGCCGAGGGCCGCGTCCTCTCCGACACCGTCACGCTGCGCTTCGCCGAGCCCAACGTCTGCCAGGCTCTGCGCCGTGAGCTCTACGAGCAAGGCATCAGCAGCGGCAAGACCTGGACCCGGGACGAGGTTGTCCTCGCCGTTCCCACGACCTTCACCCAGGACACGTATGTCCGCATCGTCAAGGCGTTCCAGACTGTCGCCAGCAAGAACCACACCGACCGTGACCTCGACGTCGCTCACAAGTTCTGGACCGAGGGCTTCCAGCAGTCCTCGGAGGACATCGTCAACGGTATCCCGCCCGCCGTCCGCCGTGAGTCGGCCTACCTGACGCACCCGGTCTTCAACACCCACCACAGCGAGACTGAGATGCTCCGCTACATGCACCTCCTGCAGTCCAAGGATCTGTCGCTGGTTCACTCCATGATTCCCCTGGGCTCGTGCACCATGAAGCTCAACGGCACCACTCAGATGGAGCTCATCGGCGCCGAGAATATCTCCAACATCCACCCGCACGCACCGTCGAGCGCCGTCAAGGGCTACCAGAGGCTCTTCAGCGCCACCTCTAACCAGCTTTCTGCCCTGACCGGCATGGACGCTACGTCTCTGCAGCCCAACTCTGGTGCTCAGGGCGAGTTTGCCGGTCTTCGTGTCATCCGCAAGTACCACGAGCAGCAGCCCGGCGCCAAGCGTGACATTTGCCTCATCCCCGTCTCCGCCCACGGCACCAACCCGGCCTCCGCCAGCATGACCGGCATGCGCGTTGTGCCCATCAAGTGCGATACTGTCACCGGCAACCTGGACTTGGCCGATCTCGAGGCCAAGTGCAAGAAGCACCAGGCCGAGCTGGGTGCCATCATGATCACGTACCCCAGCACGTTCGGTGTCTTTGAGCCCAACATCCGCAAGGTCTGCGAGATCGTTCACGAGCACGGCGGCCTCGTCTACATGGACGGTGCCAACATGAACGCACAGATCGGACTGACTTCCCCTGGCGCGCTGGGCGCGGATGTCTGCCACCTGAACCTGCACAAGACGTTCTGCATCCCTCACGGCGGTGGCGGCCCGGGTATCGGCCCGATCTGCGTCAAGGGCTTCCTTGAGCCTTACCTCCCGCACAAGGACAGCCAGACCCCCGTTGCCAGCGCCTCGTTCGGCAGCGCTAGCATCGTCCCCATCAGCTGGTCCTACATTGCCACCATGGGTGAGTGTGATTTGTACCTGCATCGCAATAATTTCGCTAACACTGTTGTAGGTGACGAGGGTCTCCGCAAGGCTACCAAGACTGCTCTCTTGAACGCCAACTATCTCCTTGCTCGCCTCAAGGACCACTACCCCATCCTCTACACCAACGACAACGGCCGCTGCGCTCACGAGTTCATTGTCGACATCCGGCCCTTCAAGGCCAGCGCCGGCATCGAGGTTGTCGACGTCGCCAAGCGTCTGCAGGACTACGGCTTCCACTCGCCGACTATGAGCTGGCCTGTGCCCAACACGCTCATGATCGAGCCCACCGAGAGTGAGAGCAAGGATGAGCTCGACCGGTTCGTCGAGGCCATGATCAGCATCCGCCAGGAGATCCGCGAGATCGAGGAGGGCAAGCAGCCCAAGGAGGGCAACGTGCTGCGCAACTCGCCGCACACGCAGGCCGACCTCATCGTCGGCGACGGCGAGGGCAAGTGGGACAGGCCCTACTCGAGGCAGAAGGCTGCTTACCCGCTGCCTTATCTGTACGAGAAGAAGTTCTGGCCCACGGTGGCGCGTGTGGATGACAGTGAGTGCCGACCGCCATGATTCATTCGTATCGGTAACTAACCAGTCCGCAGCCTACGGTGACACCAACCTGTTCTGCACATGCCCCCCTGTCGAGGACACGACTGAGCAATAAGCTACCGACATTGCAAGCATATGATTTTGGATAAAAGCCTTGCATTGTCTCCGTGTGTATTGTATAGTACACTTTTTGCTCTGAGCCCATAGACTTCTTGGCGAGGGATGCACTTGATCCGAGTCACCTCGCCTGCGTGTCTGTTTCGACGTCTTTGGACACCCTTTTTTGTGCTTTTCAGGTGGCTACGAAGCTGCCACTAAACGGAGTTATGCGGGTTCTGGAAGCTCTATTTAACATACCAGGCGGAACCAATTCAACATCAACGGCGTCTCATGGGCTGAATGAAATACGGACGATCGAACGAGAGTGGAGTGCTGGCCATCTCCAGGGCGGAGATGTGCCAAGAATCGAATAGAAATCTTGAGATAAATCAAGCATTTAGAGACACATTACATCTACGATTTCACCCTGCAAAGCGGCCAATGATACCGATTAAATGGGTGGGAAGGCCTTGACGGCCCCGAGTCATCATTTGTCGTGGGGAGGCAATTGTAGTTGCGCATCCAACCATCTATATATCTCTTCAAGAGTATACCCCTGCACGCTTCTTTCAGGCCTCAAATACCAAAGCTACGCCGTCATCGCCCGCTGTAACGAGCCTCTCGCCCGTCTCGCCCTGCACGAAGCCCAGGACGCCGCCTCCCTCGCCGTCGCCCCTGTGGCCCTTCCACTCCTTGAGCAGCCCCGCATCCGCGGTCGCAGGTGCGCCACCGGCACCGGCCGCGCCCGCCGGCTGGCCCCCGGTCGGCGCGCCGCTGCCGCCAGTACCACCAGCTCTCAGGTCCCACCTGCGGACGACGCCGTCCATGCCGCAGCTGGTCAGCAGCCACGAGCCGCGCACAAACTCGACCTTGACGACCGAGTGCTCCTCGTGGGCGCCCACGATGTGGCGGCGCACGGCGAAGCGGCGGGTGGCGTCGTAGACGACGATGCTGCCGTCGACGGAGCCCGCCGCGATGAGCGTCGTCGGGGGCGTCGTCTGCGCCAACGACGACACGGCCAGCGTCTCCACGCTGTCGCCCTGCGTGTGCAGCGACGCGAGGATCTGCCCGCCAGCGGTCGCGTCGGCCGAGGCCTTATTGGCGCCGCCGCGGCCGCCGCCACTGCTGCGCGCTTGGCCCTGCGCCTGCGGCGTGAGGCGCGGCAGCGAGACGATCTTGATGGCGCCACCTGCGCCGCCGACAGCGACGAACGCGCCCTTGGGGTCGATGGCGATGGAGTAGAGGCCGCCCTCGACCTCGAATCGCTGGTCCTCGCCCGTCAGCGACACGGCCGTCATGCCGTTGTCGCCTACAAGGCCCTTGCCGGCGGCGACGCCCCATACGTCCCACACGTACAGGCTGCTATCCTCGGAGATGGTGACGAGCAGCTGCCCGTCGGGCGTCCACGCGCCGGCCGTGCAGGGCCCCGTGTGCAGGAAGTACGACTGCACGATCTGGAGGGGGTTCGACTCGTCGGAGGGGTCGATGGTGTAGACCCAGACGGAGCCGTCGGAGGCGCCGAGGGCGACGGTGTTGGGGTTCGTGGCCGAGGGGCAGGGCGCGAGCCAGTTGATCTCCTCGACCTCCTGGGTCTCGCCAAGGAGCTTCATGGAGACGCCAGACTGGGGCCGGACGTCGGCCCGCCAGGCGCGCAGGCGGCCGTCGAGGCCTCCGCTGACGAGGACCTCGCCGCGGGGCAGGGTCCAGCACAGGGCGTTTATGGAGTCGGTGTGGCCGTCGAGCGAGAAGAGGCTGTCGAGCTGGGTGCTCTTGGGCGCCTCGGCCGCGGCGGCCGGGTCGCTGGCGAAGCTGGGCGGCAGGACGGGGCGCGACTGCGCGGCCGACGTGTCGAAGAGCCAGCCCGCGCCGGGGGCGTCGTCCTCCTGCCCGGCGGAGCCGCCGACGGCAACGAGCGATGGGTGGACGGGGTGTTGCGCGATGGCGAAGAGGGAATCTTGCGGCAGGTCGAAGTAGGCGATGGAGTCGTTTTGCAGGACGAGCTCGACGGCCTCGTCGTCGTCGGAATCCATGGCCACGTCGTCGCCCTCGTTGACAATCTCCTCGGCGGCCTCATCGGCATCGAGCATGTCGTTCTCGTCGACATCGTCCTCGGGACGGTCGACGCGATCCTTGGACGAGGACATTTTGGTGCTGAGCGCAGCAGCTGCTGCGGGGTGGTGATGTGATGTGTGCGTGATTGAGAGAAGCGTTTCCAGTCGCGTTTCCGTTCCGCGAAAACGCTGGCTGAACTCGGCGCAAGGGACCGGAAGGGAATGTCGGAGCAGCAGCACTTGCGCTTCAAGGTAAATAAAAGGCGCGCGCGCAGAGCAACTGGTCGCTGTGATCGAAGGCGACGGAAGCGGTCGCTGCTTTGCAACTTTTTTTTTTTTCTCTACGTCACGCCGAAAAATGCTGCTTGATAAGCACAAGCGGCGGCGGCGGCGGCGGCGGCGGCGGCGATGCGCTGCGTGCCCCTCCCCCTCACCTTTGGACCCCGCCACAGTGCTGGAGCTCCCGCCTTTGGGAGCTCCCGCCTTTGAATCGACGTCCCTACCACGCCCGAGCATATGCAGGCAGGAGGCAGCCAGGACAGCATCGTCTTGTCCTCACGAATGCCATGCGAGGGCATCAAGAGTGCTGCTCACGATCAAGTGCCACCATCGCTTAATGCGAAGGAAAACTAGAGATATCAATTGGTGCATGCCTGTCATATCCGCCTTTCACGCGGTGCCTCTTGCCAGTTGCTTGCAGCTCGATGCTATGAAAACCAGGTCGCATTTACGCCTCAACGCCAGCCGCCTGCATTCCGTCCCAGCAGACCCTCGCACCGTGGTATCCGTTGCGCCTCGTAAGCCCATCGTCACTCCAGAACCTCTACCCAGTTCTGCTCAGCCTGCTTGCGTTTCCACCTCTCGCCGGCCGCCTCCCTCACGTTCTGCTCCTCCTCGCCCACCTCGGCCGCCTGGCTCGCCATCTCGCGGATCTGGTACTTGATGCCGAGGGGCAGCATCTTCTGCCAGCCGCTGTGCACCTTGCACCTCTTGCGCTCGCACATGCCGCGCACCTCGTCGCCTTCGCCCAGCGGGTCGCTCAGCTTGGACTCCTTGAACGTGGCCTCGCCCTCGGAGGACTTGACGTATGCGGCGAAGGCGTCGCGCGCCGAGATGGTGTCTAGTCGGGAGTCGTAGCCGCAAATGTCTTCGCCGAAGCGGCCGGCCGTGATGGCGGCGCGTCGACGCTCCTGCGCCAGCTCAACGAGAGTGAGCATCTTGTGGCAGAGAAGCGTTTCCTCTCCGAGCTGGAACCGAGCCTTGGAGGAATTTTCTAGAAACTCCTTTTCCTCGTCGCTCAGGATGGAAGCCAAAGCTTCATCTGGTACTTGTTAGAACATTGCATAGTGAAGCGCGAGACCTGGGAGCAACTCACCGGCCTTGGCATCCGCAGATGGTTTTGGCAGCGATCCCGAAAACGGGGGCTTGGCCATCTTCCACGTCCCTTCCTCATCGAGACCTGACAGGGTGCTATTCAGGAGAGCCATGAACTCATCCTGCGACAGCTGGTCGTTGAGGGGAATCTTGGTCTGCCCTTTCGGTAGCCGTCCCACCATGCGCTCCCACCACGCTTGCGCATGCTCGTTGGAACAGAAGACGCTCGGCTGGTCTTGCAGCAGGCGTGCCGGCTTACGGCATGCCCCCAACGCGCACGTCTTCTTGTATATCGTGCGCAGGTTGCCCTTGGTGCAGTTGGGACAGACGAACCGCTCGATGAGGCTCTCGCCCACGTCCTTGCTCAGGTTGATGCACTCCCCGTGGAACCAGTCCTCACAGTGCTCGCAGCAAATCATCCATCGATGGTCGTCGGGTCCGCGACAGAGGCAGTACGGCCCGTTGTCGGACTCGTCGTCATCGTCCTCGCCCGAAGCGGCGTTTGCGCCCTGCGACGAGGGCTTGGGCTTCTTGGGCCTCTTCCCCGGTTCGCCGTTCCTGGGGCGCTTGGGCGCTTTCTTAACAGCGGAAGCGGTGCCTTTCTTCTTGGGATGAGCCATGGCAGGCGCTGGTTGTGATGGTGCTGGGTCTGGTGTTTCTGTGGAAGGGAGGGGGGTGGGAGATGGTTTGAAGGTTGCCGATGCCGGGTCGCCGCCGGCGGTGAGGCGCGGTGAGTCGGTGCCATTTTCCGTCTTCACCGGGTCCTCGTCCATGAGCACGAACCGCGGCTCATCTTTGATGCCGTTTGTCGCTGGCGTCTGAACAGGCTCCATGGCAAGCGAAGTGAGCGTTTGGGGCGCTCAAGCCCGGATGGTATCTTCCTCAAGGCTAGTTCGATCTCTCATAGGGCCAACTCCATTCAAATGAGATGCACAGTAGTTTCAAGCCGTGGACTTTGTTTGTAGCCTTTATGCCGTCTTGATATCTGATGATGTCGCGTTCAGCGACGTCTTGGACGCTGCAACACGGGTCTTGAGCGGGCTAGGCGCGTGACTAAGCGCCCAAACGCGCCTGTCTTGGTCGGCAAATTTTCGGTGGCAATCGCGCGACTGACGCCGGCAGGTCAAGATTGTCAGGTCATCAATCCACCGCTTCGACCGCTTGACGTCGGCAAGAATTCACGGCTGCCGGACGGATCACCATGTCGCATACAGCCGCAGCATCGAAGGCGCTGCAAAGTGTCCTGGGCAGGGCGGCCTCTCGACAATGCCAGCGGTGCTTCTCTAGCAGCGCCCTGCAGCCTAAGCAGCTCCGGCCGACGCTTCCTCGAGCTTCCATCCAGACGAGACAGCCGATTACGCAGCGACGGACAAAGTACAAGACGGTGGAGCAGGCCAAGAGCCGGCATAGTACTGGGGTACGAGCGCCATGACAGCGATTGCAAATATCAAAAGAGGAAAATGGGAGCTGACTGTGTCTGTTGCAGCCCTTCTCGTGGAAGGCCGGCATCCTCTTCGTCGCGACCTGCGGACTGCTGGTGTGGTATTTCGAGCATGAAAAGGAGCGCATGCAGAGGAAGCGGATAGCCGATGCTGCCAAGGGTGTCGGACGGCCCAAGGTCGGCGGCGAGTTTGCGCTGGTCGACCAGAACGGCAAGCCGTTTACGAGCGACATGATGAAGGGCAAATACTCCTTGGTACGCCTCGTCGCACATTTGCGCGTCTCCTCAGGGTGCTGACTTTGTCCCAGGTCTACTTTGGCTTCACGCGCTGTCCCGACATCTGCCCCGAAGAGCTCGACAAGATGGCCCGGATGCTCGACGTGGTCGAGGCCAAGGCCCCCGGGTCCCTGCTGCCCATCTTCGTTACGTGCGACCCGGCGCGCGACGACCCCAAGGCGCTCAAGGAATACCTTGCCGAGTTCCACCCGGCGTTCATCGGCCTGACGGGCACGTACGACCAGATCAAGGACCTCTGCAAGAAGTACCGTGTCTACTTTAGCACGCCGCAGAACGTCAAGCCCGGGCAGGACTACCTGGTGGACCACAGCATCTACTTTTACCTCATGGACCCGGATGGCGACTTTGTGGAGGCCCTGGGACGGCAGCACTCGCCTGACCAGGCGGCGCAGTTGATACTCGACCACATGAAGGACTGGAAAGGCCCAAAGAACTGAGATGGTGGCGATGTACGATGGCATGAGGATGTAGAATAGTGTATCACCGACACATGTATTACTTTGGCCACGACGGCGCCAACAACTCAATTCAATTGTAATGAAGACGATTGCAGAACTTTTCGTTGTGCTTCAAACTCGCATCGTGGTGACTGCCTATGCATTGCAGGGGGCCGGTTCCAACGGACATGCCCCGGCCCGCTTATCTGCCATTAGCGGTTACGGGCCCCTCCGATGAGCCGGTGTGACTACAACGCAACGACACAACAACCCCGGGCCCTTTATTGACCGGCCCCCGTCTTCAAACACATCACACACAACACGCAACTAGACAAACACGACGCCTCGCTGCTGGCCGTGCCATTCTGATGTCGTAATTTTCGGACTCAAAACACGAGTAGCGGAAGAAAATGGCCAGCGCTGGCGCGTGCATGAGGTGCCTTTCAAGGCTGCCGTCCGGGACCGGCGCCGCGGCCCTGAGGTCCCAACGGGCGTGGCTGCCGGCCACCGGACGAGCACTGGGTGCAACCACAACTTATGCCCGGGGCAAAAGGCTTTTCGGGCATACATCGAGGCTAGGCGAGAGGGTCGTCAAGCCTCCCAAGACCGTCCCTGCCGAAGAACTGACGGGCAAGGCGGGGGCATCAGCCGCGTCCAACGTCTCACACAAGGCCTTTTCAGACGTTGCCTTTGCCTTTGAGTACGTGCACTTCTCCAAACCTAACTGAGACGCAGCCGTCGGGCGACTAACCGTCTGACAGCATCGATGGCGTCCTGTACCAGGGCAACCGCGGCATCCCCGGCGCGCGGGAGATGCTGCGAGCGATTCACGCCCTCGGCATGCGCTATGTGTTCCTGACCAACGGCGGGGGCGCGCACGAGGATGCCAAGGTGCGATCGCTGGCCCGGCGGTTGGGGATGAGTGACGACGAGGATGCCCTCCGTGGGCGCGTCATCGTTTCGCACACGCCAATGCGCGGGTGGGCGGACAGCGTCAAGGAACAGACGGTGCTGATTACGGGGTCGCACCCAGAGACGGCGCGCCAGATTGCCATTGAGTGAGTACATCCTGTGCGCGTATCTGGGAAGCTTGGCCAGGGCTGACATGCTGGCAAGGTACGGTTTCAAGCGGGCAGTGACTCCCGCCGATCTGATTCACGCCAACGACAAGCTGTATCCGTTTGACAACCTCAAGGAGAGTCTTCACTCGCAGTTCAGGCCGCTGCCCGACGGCAAGTCGGCGTCGAGCATCGAGGATGCCTACAGCGCCGACGTCCCGGCCGACGCGCTGCGAATCGACAAGATCCTGGTGTGGAACGACCCGCGAGACTGGTCGCTCGACATCCAGGTGATCCACGACCTGCTTGTCTCTCACCGGGGGTACCTGGGCACGGTGTCGAGCAAGAACGGCGACGCGACGCTGCCCAACTACGGGTGGCAGCAGGACGGGCAGCCGGAGCTCTGGATCTCGAACATGGACCTCTTCTGGAAGACGGACTACCCGGTGAACCGGTTCGGCACGGGGGCGTTCGTCGAGGCGCTGCGGGGCGTGTGGTCGGCGGTGACGGAGGGCGCGGCGGAGCTGCAGTTCCACGCGCTGGGCAAGCCGTCCGAGTACACGTACGAGTACGCGCACGAGCGGCTGCTGCACGACTACGGCGACGCGGGCTCGGTGAACGGAGCGCAGCTGCAGCCTTGGCAGTCGCCGCCGCCGCAGCAGCAGGATGGCAGCAGCAGCAGCAACGAGGGCAACGTCGACGGCACGCGGCACCCGCTGCGGAGGGTGTACATGATTGGGGACAACCCGGAGAGCGACATCCGCGGGGCCAACGGGTTCGCGCCGGCGGACGGGACCGAGTGGAAGTCGATCCTGGTCAAGACGGGGGTGTGGCGCGCGGGGACGGAGCCGTCGCACCGGCCCGACGTGGTGGTGGACGACGTGGTGGACGGCATCGTGTGGGCGCTGCGCAACGAGGGCGTCGACGTGACGAGGGAGACGCTGACGGGCGGCGGCGGCGCATGAGTGAGCGAGCCGTGTGTTGCGTGTTGTGTTGCGCTGCGTTGCGTTGTGCGAGCGAGGCATCACATCATGGCAATGTAGATTTTAGATGGATGGATGTTTGTGCTTCTAGACAGCCTGCAATACTTCGTACGTCGTACAAGGCGATGCTACACTGTACTGTGCTTGCAGATAATAAAGTATTCGTACATGTAATAGCGACGAGGATGTAACGTGTGTCGTCTCCCGCGTCTTGTGCAAGGGCAGAGAGGAGGACGAGGGGCGGTGGGTGGATGGCGGATAACTAGCGCACGCGTCCAATTTCCGGATGCGCTCACCGAACGACGACAGACCAGACGCACACGCACACCGACGGCACCAGCCAGCCGAGCATCTTGCTGCGGTGCAACCCTCGGATGGATCGCCGCCGCCGCCGCATTAATTTTAGCGGCCAGGCGAGTCGGAGGATTGCACTGCGCGCGCGCAGGCACTTTGTTGCTCTTGCGTGACCTGGCATCGCCTGCCTATACCGTCAGCCCGCAGAGCGTCACGACTCACATAATAGATACGGTACCTGATACGTAGTGGGCGAATGTCCCGTGCACACGACGTCGAGGCCTCGGAACCGCCAAGACGCCGCAGCAATGACCCCTGGCAGGGCAGTCAGTCAGGCGAGGAGGCGTCAAGCGCTGTTGGGCCGCGCGCCGCCGTCAGGGTCCAACCTGCAGCCAGCAGGGCAGCACGCACACACACCTCACCCCTCTTGGCCGTTCGGACGTATTGCTCGTTGAAGTGTTGCCTCGCACACACCAGGCACCTGATATCCGCCTGGCCAGCCAACCGGGGCGCCTCTGCCGTACGCCGGGCCAGAGGGGGCTCGCACGCGACACGACAGGGACAGGACAGGGCACCTCGTTCGACGGGGGCCGTTGGGGCAATCAAGAGGTGGACGGGGTCCGGTCCAGGCTCTTCCATCCGAACAGGCACAGAGACGGGGACACACGAGTTGCGCTCGTGCACACGGGAGAGCTAGAACGGAGCGAGTGCTACAGGGATCTTTTGGCGGACGAGAGTCGATTGATGGATGCATGGTCAGTGGCCAGCTCTCACTGGACTGCGAGGTGACGCAGCCCTGGAAGCGGCCCCCGAAAACGTTGGGTGGCGCCCCCTAACGAGGCGCTGCCAGTCCATCTTAGTGGCTGCGCTTTAGGGGGAGGTTCGTCACCAGGCAGGAAGATCCTCCCCCTAACTAGCCCAGCCCAGCCCTGCCCGGTCTGGTCCCCGTCCGCTCTGACGGGTCACGGGTCACATGCCAGCCTCTTTGGTCGCCCCTTCCCAGTCGAGTTGCGTCCATGTGTTTGTTCTCGTGCAACTACCGGCACAATCTCTCCTCTTCCCCAACCGCTGCAGCAACAAGCGATAAAGCAGAGGCGAACGCCGTCCTTGGCAAACGCTCGTCCCGCATCGCGCAACCACGGTCCGCCTTCGTGCTCCCGTATACGAGGGAGGACCCAGCGGATCTTACCCGTTTGTGCTACCTACGTACGTGCAAAACCACCACCACCACCGATGTACGTTCCCGTCCCATCCCATCCCTCCAGCCCACCTGTGGGGGAGCTCGCTGCCATGCCCGCCATGCCCACAAAATTGATGCGGATCCTTCGAACCCACTGCTAACCGACCCTCAAAGCTCTTCGTTCGCCTTGGCCGACTGTGCCCGTCCCGTGCTACTTTGTGCGCCTCCTGAGACCTTCCAGCCCGACTGTCCTGCCTGTCTGTCTCGACCGCAGCGACTTGCCCGCCTCCTCTTATTAATGCTCCCTGCCTGGCCTCCGACCGCGCATCCTTGAGTTCCTTGACGCCATCGTTGGCGACAGCCCACTCTTCATCGCCAGTCGCAGCTCAAACGGCCATGTCTGACCCCGGCGCTGGTTCCCCCGCGCCTGCGCCTGCGCCCGCGCCCGCGCCGCCCGCGGCCTCGGCGACGACCACGGGCCCCTCGCCTCTCCGCTCGGCCCTCAAAGGCGACGACGACGCCACTAGGACGCCGCCTGGAAGCTGTACTCTCAAAGGTAAGAGCCGAGTTCATGCCAATGTGCTGCGTAAAGACTTGCGCGTGTGTGACATGGGTGACAGAGTGTCGCGTGTCCACGAGTGAGTGAGTGTGCGTCGTGTGAGCATCAGCCAGGCGCAACACCTACCCTGGCCAACAGCCGGACCTCTGGCCTCTCGGCATCTGGCCTAGTCGTACTTGGTCTTGCCCTGCTGTGCTCTGGCGACTTGGCGTACATTGCCACTTTGTGTCGAATGCCTGCCCTCGTCCCTCAACCTCTCCCCTCCTCAAGGTCATCTTGCAACGTAAGCTCACATCCGCATTGCAGCCGTCCAGATTGCCGAGCCCGTCGCGGAACCGCAGCTTGATGACGAGCCGGCGTGTCTTAAGCAATTTCGCGCAGGCCCGACGCGCAGATTGAGTGGCAAGGCTGCCCCGTGCACGTCCTCGCGATCCTCCCTCAACGACGGCTCTCCAGCGGTGCATGCTGCAGACGAAGCAGCCCATCCCGCCCACCAGCAGCACCACCAGCATCATGCCAACAGCCAGTATTACAGCGAAAAGTTGCTGGCCCAAGTCGGAGAATGGCTGGAGCGTGAGAAGACCAAGGCGGCCAGCCGCAAACTGAAGCCTCGCCGGCACAAGTCCAAGTCGCCGCCGACTGCTGAGCGGGCATCTGCGTCTCAACCCTTGCCGGCACGCCAGCGGGCGGACTCAATCGACTCGCAGTCCAGCGACGTCTCGCTGGAGAAGCTGGAGAACATCTTGGAGGATTCGATGCTGCGTCTCGGCCTGAGCTCCATGCCCAAATACACCCCCAAAGTGTCCCGCCCCAGGCGCCGAGCAACGTCTCGGGCTTCTCTGCAGCGGGCTGCATCTTCTGACACCGACTATGTCGATGGTGACGCAATCGTGCCCGACTGCGACGTCTGGCTCGACAACTCCAAGACTCTGAGTTACACAGGCGGGGCTGCCAGCACCGACGACCTGGCCGACAAGGCGGACAAGGAGCGCGAGTGCTGGCTGAGCTTCAAAAACGAAATCATTCGCATCGCTCACACCCTGAGGCTCAAGGGCTGGAGGCGAGTGCCGCTGGGCGGTGGTGACACCATCACGGTCGAGCGCCTGAGCGGCGCATTGACCAACGCCGTGTACGTTGTCACCCCGCCGTCCGACATGCCGGAACTCGACGGCAAGAAAGGCCCGCCCAAGGTTCTTCTCCGAGTGTACGGACCCCAGGTAGAGCATCTCATCGACCGTGAGAATGAGCTCAAGGTTTTGCAGCGGCTGGCTCGTAAGAAGATCGGCCCTCGTCTGCTTGGCACCTTCAAAAACGGCCGCTTCGAGCAGTTCTTCAACGCCATAACGCTCCAGCGTATGGACCTGCGCGACGCAGAGACTTCGCGACAGATTGCCAAGCGAATGCGAGAGTTGCATGAAGGCATCGACTTGCTTCCTACTGAGCGCGAGATTGGCTCCACAACACTGAAGAGCTGGGACCAGTGGCAGGACAATGTCACCAAGATCATCACCTTCCTTGACCAGCAGTTTGAGAATCAAACCGGCTCCGAACGTATGGACTCTGTCGTGCACGCCTGGAAGGCCAATGGCTATGTCTGCGGTGTGCCGTGGCCGTTCTTCAGGGATACCGTGCTCAAGTACAGGGCGCACTTGAAGGCGGCGTACAAGGATGAGAAGACCATCAAGGATCGCCTAGTTTTCGCACACAACGATGTGAGTTTCAGACACACAGCTTTGAGACCCTTTGCTAACCGGAGTCGCGGCAGACCCAATACGGAAACATTCTTCGCATTCGCCCCGATGATGAGAAATCACCCCTGCTGCAGGCCGCCAACAAGCACAAGCAACTCATCGTCATTGACTTTGAATACGCAGGTGCCAATACCCCTGGCCTCGAGTTTGCCAACCACTTTACCGAGTGGACGTACAACTACCACGATGCCGCCACGTCTCACGCCTGCAACCACATCATGTACCCGACTGTGGAGGAGCAGAAGCGCTTCATCAAAGCCTACGTGGACCATCGCCCACAGTTCCCCAACGCCAGCTTGACTCCGCGCATTCGCCCAGCCGATAGCACGAGCTCGGCCCCGGCAGCGACGGGCCCTGTGAGCACGCCGCCTCTCGTCCCCACGACGTCGTCGAGCTCCATCATCGACTTCATGCTCGATGCTCGCGCACCCCCGGGAGGTTGGAGTGCGGCCGAGCGCGAATGCGAGGAGCAGACGGAGAAGAAGGTCAAGGAGCTCATGGAAGAGACGCGACTCTGGCGACCCGCTAACAGCGCGTTCTGGATCGCGTGGGGTATCGTCCAGGCCGATGTCCCTGGACTCGACGCCAACAATGACCCCGTGTCGGCAGAGGCGGCGCTCGCGGCCGAGGAAGCCATTGCCGCGGACGAGTTCGACTACCTGAGCTACGCGCAAGACCGCGCCCTCTTCTTCTGGGGCGACGTGTTGCAGATGGGACTCGTCAAGGAGGATGAGCTGCCCGAGAGCCTGCGCGCCAGGCTCAAGCTGGTGCCGCGATGAGCAGCAATCTGCCATGAAGCTACGAACCTGAATTTGATGTACGGATAGCACCTCGGGGTAGATTTGTCACCCGACATGTTGAATATGTGTATATAACACAAAATTTTCCTCATGCACAGCCTCCGGATACCGTTGTGACTCTTTGTTGTCTGGTCCAATTGTCGTGTCTTTCATCAATATGCTGCCACTTGCCGTCGCGTTCCTCGACTCAGCAACTAGCTCAGTACCTGTTTATGCAACCGTTGTTATGGACCCCTATGCAACCATGTTTCATATGCAAGCAGGCTCTCTTCCCATGGGCCAGTCTATCACACTTCAAGTCTTGGCTCATCCTTGCTTGTCTCTTACGCATCGAGCTTGAGACGGTCCAGCATCGCGTCAATCTTGCCCAGCAGGATCTGGTAGTTGATGGCATCCGACGCGAACTCGTCCTCGGCCGTGGCGCCGTCGAGCGTGCGCATCGCGTTGTCGTCTGCTGCTACGTGGTAACCTTCTTGCTCCGCTATTTGGGCTTGGGCGGGCTCGGTCACGGCTGTGCCGTTGGATTGTTGCGCGGGCTTGGGCTTGGCGTCGAGCCCGTCCTGGGTTGTGTCGGTGGTGGTTGCGGCGGCGGCGGCAGCAGCGGCGGCGTCGGCCATCTCGGCGCTGCGGTCCGCCAGCGCAGCCGCCATGGCGGGGTCGATCTCGCCGTCGTCATCCGGCATGACCTCGTCGAGCCCCGTGTCCTCGAAGCGCAGGCGGAAGCGCTCCGAGAGGTAGTAGCGGATGTCGTCGAGCAGCTCGATGGTGTCCGTCTCCTCGCGGCGGTGGATGCGCGAGGCGCTCTCGCGGATGAGCTCCTGGAAGTCCGGGTCGTCGATGTAGTCCTCGAGGCGCGTGGCGAGGTACCGCGCGGCGAACTCCTCGAGGCGCTGCACGCGCAGGTCCCACGCCGCGTGGATGACGTCGTAGATGTTGATGGGCTCCATCTCCGGAGCGGGAGGCGGGGTTGTCGTCGTCGTTGCGGCCATGTCAGCCCCGTTGACGCCTGGTGTGCCAGCACCGCCGTTCTGGAGCTTCCCTGTGTCGCCGTTGACGTTGAGGTTGGCGTCGCCGTTGGCGGACGCGTGCGCGTGGGTGCGGTCCACGAGGGCGTTGCGCGTGCCGCTACCGAGCGTGCTAATGGCCACGGCGGCCTTGCTCTTGAGGCTGTCGAGGAAAAGCATGTCGGCGGCGTAGAGGAGGTCGAGCGCGTGCTCGAGCGGGCAGTTTGTGTTCTCGGTGTAGAGGAACGTCAGGACCAGCTCCAGCACGGCGGGCGAGCAGTCAATCTTGATCACGCGGAGGTGCTCCGACCGCCGCGACTCGACAAAGTCGCCCGAGAACATCTTGTCAAAGTACTCGCTGCGGATGAGCATGGCCTTGTGCACGGGGTACAAGGCCGATTTCCGGGGCTTCTTGCCGCCTGACGCGGTCCCGATCGGGATGCCCTGGCCGTTAAGCGTCGGCGTCGCCTGCGCGGCCGCACCCTCGTCGTCATCCTCGTCGAGCTCGTCTGCTCTCAGCAGCACGTCGGCAAAGGCCGAGTTGTCGTAGCTCCACTTGATGTCGCCTGCGCGCTCCGTGTCGACCACCATCTTCCCGCCGAGCACATGCCTGCGGAAGAAATCGCGGATCTGGCCCAGCGCTCGCTCCTCCTCGTCCTGAAACCGCTGGCGCGCGAGCCTGCGGTCGCCGCCGGCCATGATGGCCTCCCACAGCTGTTCCACCTCCAGCTGCTTGCTGACCTTGTCGAGGCCCTTGGCGACGTCTTCCTCGGAGATGGGGCTCCCGGCGGGGACAATGTCCCGCGGCAGGTCGCCCAGGTAGACGTACCGCAGGGCAATTTGAAGGGCCTCGACGGGGATGGTGGGCGCCAGGTTCCATGTCGCCGTCTCGGGCTGGGCCTCGAGCCTGCTCCGGAAGTAGGGCGTGCGCGAGGCGAGGAGGAACTTGTGCAGGTTGAATTCCCGGTCGCCGGCCACCAGAGTGATGTCAGAGGTTTGAGGCAGAGTTCGCGTCAAGAGGCTGGAGATGTGCGTCGACCAATAGACGTAAGGGTCAGACGTCTTGGAGAAGTCATACTGAAGCAAGAGGTTTCGTATTCTGTCATTAAGGGCGTTGTATATGCAGCGCTCGCCCTGGAAGGTGTTCCTCTCGGCCAAGGCTCCTACAATAAAGGTTAGAAGGAAGCGCACGAGATGTAAGCCGACTCAAGCATACCAGATTCTAGCAGCAATTGAACAAGTTCATAGTGTCCGCACAAGCTGGCCTGCATCATGAGGGTCAATACCGGAGATATCGGAGGAACCGCGAGGGTGCAGGGTAGGTAGGTAGGTAGGTTGGCATACGATGATGAGCGGCGTGTAGTCAAACTTGTCCTTGCCGTTGATGTTGACGCCCAGGCCGATGAGCTCCTGGCACTTGCGCAGGTCGCCGTGACGGCAGGCGAGGAGGAAATCCTGGAATTCGGGGCTCTGGTCGAGGGGGTTCTCGTCGCGCAGCACGCCGCTCTTGATGAGGGCGCTCTCCTCGCCGAGCTTGCCCTCGAGCTCGTGCTTGCGGAGCACCATGGCGGCTTGACGCCGGGGCCGGCCAAGAAAAGACAAAAGGGAAAATGCAAAGCAGTGCCGGGGGCGTATATTTACAAAAGAGACGGGCACGAATTCTAGGGGCTAGGTGAGGCAGGCATGAGTTTGGTCGTGAGGCGACGACCGTTTAGTCGACAGCTCGTTGGTGGTCCATAGTGGCGGCCATGATGAATGACAAAGCATCCAGAACCAATCTGCGCATCCTGTGCGGGCCCAATCGGCGCAGGTGCTTTTCCTTCCCTCGTTCGTCTTGCGGCTTGTGGCGCGGGCAGAAGTGTGGCGGGCGCTGCTGTGGCGGGGCACGGCAAGATGACGCTTGGGCCGATGGTGGGGCACCACATTAGGCCCCTCCCCACGGGACTCCTTATCGATAACCCACCACAGAGATTCCCAAAGTGGGCGTTGCCATGGCAGCGGCCCCGTCTGTTGACTCCGGGCAACCAGAGACCCTGGCCCGTCACGGAAGACGAGTGGCCGTGAAATGCGCCTGCCCGTCACGGCTGGACCCCGTGCGCGCATCATCTTCGCATGTCCCGCTCAGCCCCCGGCCCAAAGCGTCGAGTGCGGAAGCGGTTGCTTGACAGTTTTTGACTGTTTTGGTCGCATGCGCGGCGGATAGCCCACACACACCACCCGTCCCTCGTCCTCATCCGCGCAGCCGTGCTCGCACGACGACTTCTTCATCCTCACACCACCACCATCCATCCGCACGGCATTCCAACCATCGCCAGCAGCCTTCGTTACTAACCCCAGCAGGTATTTTTGCGGCGGTAGGCCTTTTTTGCTTGCATCTCATCCATCATTTTGCACCCATCCGCCCCCCCGGTCACCGTTACCGTTACCGTCCCTCGTCCCCGATCTCATCCCCCTTGTCGGCTGGCACTCTGGGCGTTCGCTGCGGTTGCTCATTTTATGCCTGCCTTGAGCTGCTGCTGTGCCTCGCCTTGGCCACCCGTCCACCAGCCTCACCGCGCCTGTCTGACGGAGCTTCGTGGTTCCATGGGTGCGTGACGAGACGACGACGCCGACAAGACCCTTCATCGACGCCGCCGGGCCCCAAATCCACACGCCCACCATGACGTCCGAGGACAAGTACGAGACGCTGGAGAAGATTGGTGAGACCCAAAGCCGCTGCCCATCGCTTCGCAGCAGGGAGCTCTGGTTGCTGACAGCACATCTCTGCACAAAAGGCCATGGCTCCTTCGGCGTCATCCGCAAGGTGCGCCGCAAGGCCGACGGCTTCATCATGTGCCGCAAGGAAATCTCGTACCTCCGCATGTCCCAAAAGGAGCGCGAGCAGCTGCATGCCGAGTTCCAGATCCTCTCGCACCTCCGACACCCCAACATCGTCGCCTACTACCACCGCGAGCATCTCAAACTCAGCCAGGACCTGCATCTTTACATGGAGTATTGCGGCAACGGCGATCTCGGTCGAGTCATAAAGGACCTGCAGCACAAGGGCCAGCGAGCTCAGGAGAGTTTCGTGTGGAGCATATTTAGCCAGTTGGTCATGGCGCTGTACCGCTGCCATTATGGCGTTGACCCGCCGGACGTGGGCGCAAACGTGCTCGGCCTGACGCAGGGCGGCGCGAGCGGAGCCCCCAAGGCACCGGCCGGGGCAGTGACGATTCTGCACCGTGATCTCAAGCCCGAGAATGGTACGATGAGCCTCCACTTGACACGGCGAGGATTGCGGCTAACCAGGTCTTGCAGTGTTCCTCGGCGAGGACAACTCTGTCAAGCTTGGGGATTTCGGTCTGTCCAAGATGATCAAGTCTCACGACTTTGCCTCGACTTACGTCGGCACACCCTTCTACATGTCACCCGAGATTTGCGCCGCCGAAAAGTACACGCTCAAGTCGGATATCTGGTCGTTGGGCTGCATCATCTACGAGCTGTGCTCGCGTGAGCCACCATTCAACGCTAAGACGCACTTTCAGCTCGTCCAAAAGATCAAGGAAGGGAGAGTCGCTCCGCTGCCCGACATGTACTCACCCGAGCTCAACCAGGTCATCAAGGACTGCCTCAAGGTCAACCCGGACCGGCGGCCGGACACGGTACAGCTGCTGAACCTGCCGGTCGTCAAGTTGATGCGCAAGGAGAAGGAGGCGGTCGACCTCAACAAGGCGCTCAAGCTCCGGGAGGAGGCTCTTAAGAAAAGAGAAAAGGAGCTCAGCGAACGTCTTGCCAGCCTTGATCGCGAAAAGAACGCCGCTCGTGACGAGATCGAGGCGTCCCTCCGCCGCGAGTGGGAGGTTAAGGCGCGGCTGGAGATCGACCGTCTGGCCAACGCCGAAATCGAGCAGCTGCAGAAGCGCTTCGAAGAAGAGGTCAGACAGCGCGTCGAGGTCGAGCTGCAAAAGAAGAAGCCGACCGCTCCCATTCTTGACGAGATCCCCGTCGATGAGTATGCCTCCTCCGCCGCGAGATCAGAGCATCCCTACTCCTCCATTGGTGCCGCCAGCGGCGACGAGTTCCCGTCGACGACGGACATCACTGAATATTCCCTCGATAGTCCCGACGCGTCAAAAGAGTCGAAGCGTAGCGCGCGGACGCCATTTGGCCGGGCGCAGACCATGTTTGCCGGCGTCGCGGGCACGCCCATGGACATCGAGATGGCATCGCCTAGCCCCATCGCGATAGCCTCGCTGTCGCTGTCGCCGCGCCGCAACGGTGCGACCAAGGCGCCGACAACACACTCTGGCAACATCTTTGCGGCGCACAACGCCGCCAACGGCAACCCGAAGTGGGATCTGCACCGCGAGCCGACGTTCCCCGAGTCGGACGACGAAGACATGATGATCCCTTCTCCGACGCGGCACATCAAGTCGACCAAGAACCCGTTCACGGCCAAGGACCGCCCAGTCCTCACATCGCAAAAGTCGTGCCCTGCAAACCGCCTTAGAACCAAGACCTCTAACTCTGGTCTAGTTTCTAAGGCGGCTGCCAGCACTGCGGCATCCACGTCGCAGCCCGAGCCTCGCTCCCGCTCGCCCGTCCGCCCGATCAGCAAGATTCCTTCAGTCGCAAACCTGCAGTCCGAGTTGGGGCCCAGCGCGGGCGGCTTGACGCGCAAGAACTCTGTCAAGAAGGACACGGGAGCGGTTAGCGTGGCTGCTGGCGACGCGCTGAACAAGGTGGCGGCCAAGAACAACATCAAGGGCCGCACCTTGGTGGAGCTGCAGCAGGCACGCGCCGGAGGACGACCGCTCAGCGTCGTCATTGGGGAGAACGTCAGTCCGAAGAGAGGAGCGGCGTTCCGAGATCGCATCGCCGGTGAGAGACGGGCTAGCAGTTCCAGCGGCAGCGGTAACGGCGGCGAGCCGGTCGCCGTCTGGGATCCGGAGAGAGACGAGATGCCCAGCCCATTCCTCGTGCGCCAGCGTCGAATCGCAAAGACGTAGGAGTCTCTGCTGCGCTGAGACCTGGGAACCGCATCTGGACGAGCCGTCCGTCACGCGCCGAGTTCAGAATCATGACGGAGGCGTTTTTGCATTATCATACCACCACCCTCTTTTGCTTTTCCTTTGTCTCTCTCTCTATTGCTACCGCCCATTTGCCATTCGCCGCATCCGAGTGGCGTGGTGCGGAAGTCGGTGTTGAATAGATGGGGGGTGGCAGGTGGCATGTTACTTTCACAATCAGGTTAATCGGTTGGAGGGGGGCTGGTGCAGCTCACGAGCCGCACGCCGTTACGCATGACGGCATCTCACGGAGTTTTTGGGGCTGGGCGTTTGTTACTTTCTGGGTTTTGTTCTGACGGCGCGGTTTTGGGCGTGCGTTTTTGTCGTGACGAGCAGGTACTGTCTCTGGCTCGGTCACCGTCTCTTTGCTCCTGTCTGTTTCGTATGTTTTCTCTGGGGCTCTTCAGAGCCGGGCACTCCGAGCGAAGGGCGCGCCGTCTGTGGTCGATGCTGTTGGATCTTCCTGAACATGAAGAGGAGCGCGAGGGAAGGGAAGAAGGAGGGGCCGCTCAAGAGCTGGCGTTGGACAGATGCTTTCTTGTTGCAGTACGTGTGTATGGACTTGGAGGGGCCGCGTCTCGTTGAGGCGAGGGGAGGAGCGGAGAGACAGCATGAGAACAGAGAGATGCTCGAGATGTGCCAAACCGCGAGCGCGTGCGTGAACCTTGATTGATGGTGAGCCTGTCGCACCGTGACGACAAAACGGTGGTAGCCCGGCCATGGCACCTAGATGGGTGATGCGACGTTGGGGGGCTACCTAGGCGCCTATGGACGTAGACGTCTGGGGTGCGATGGGTGCACTGGGTGAGTGAGACGGGGGGCACCTGTCACTTGCGAGACATGTAGTCACTTAACGGAGTACCGACAAGACGGGCAGGGTCAGAATCGAACCACCCGAGAAGCACCGGCCGGCACGCAATACACCCTCTCGCGCCCCATGGAAGAGGAGCTCCAAGCGATGGGCCATCCGCCGGATACCACATGCGCGGGCAGAGTGCAACCGACCAACCAGCACCCCGACTTACACCGAAATTGCCACATCGACGTCGGCGCAGATGTGAGCCCTCAAAGCCCCTCTTGCTTTCAATAGTTGTTCTACCTGGGCGTTCTGGTTGCCAATGGCACCTCTTTTGAGTTCGTACAATGAGTTGCTCGTGGCGAGTCCCTCTCAGACACCGCTGTCCCAGGCCGATCGAGATCGTCTTTGCGCAGTGATGCGCCTCCTCCCGTCGGCCCATGCTAGCACCATCTTCTCCCTCCCACACCTGCGCCCCGTGTTCTGGCCTCGTCGGCATTCGAGCGCCGACCGCTATTCCCCAAATGCCGTCTCATCGTGGGGATCGGCAGCCCTCCTCGCAGCCCTCATGTGAGACAGACCCTGCCTTCGGGGGCCTTCAATGCTGGGAGAGCGGCCAAAAATGTTCATGGAACAAGGTCCACTGGGTATAAAAACGTGACAAAAAAGACGTACATCCGCCTCCTCGCTGACAGGCATCCAACCCCCAGGGGAAAAACAAAACATTCGGCCAAGTTTGGTGGGTTGTTCGTGAGAAACACCAATTTTCTAGCCCTCCCATGGCGGTGCGCCCCAAAGCGGGGATGTATCCGGCATCCGAAACAAGCGCAAACGGTAAGAGCAGGGTGAGCCCCTCAGCATATAGCGTGTGGTCGCCAAAGGGTGACAAAAGGAAACAAGTAATCGCGAAAACAGCTGCGTAAACCAACGCCAAATCAACAGAGTTCCAACGAGCCGTGAGGCCGATTTCCATCTTTGCCCAGCCGCGAGGCCTCGACCCATCTTGTGTGTTATCCAGTCCAAACTTCAACTTCAAAATACCTCCCTCGTACATTTCAGAACCCGTGAGCACGCTTCCGGGCGAGTAGGGTGGAAAGTGCATCGTAGCAGCCAGTGCTGTGGTACCATGTGCCCGGGCATCTTCCGTGACGTCTTGTGCTGCCGGTTGAATTCCGATTGCTCCTCTGGCCCCGTGGCCTCTGTTTGTCTCCCGCGCTATGCACGCGATGCGTACCAGTACGCCGCCCAACCCGTGCCATGTGCGACGCAAGCCGCAGCGAGCGGCTCCTTAGTGCTTGTGCCTGTGCGAGGAGCCGTGCCGGTGCGAGTGCGAATGGCCGTGACGGTGCGATGAATGATGTGATGAGTGTTTGTGGTGTCGGCTCGACGAGCCGCTCGTCTCCAGATCTCTCTCGAGCTCCTCGACCCGTTGGCGGTACCCTTTGACAATCTCCTTGATGTGAGCTATCCGGTCAAAATCAACCTCGAGCTCGTCGAGCTGGCGCAGGATCTCCGTGTACCGGGCGATCTCCGCGTCGGCGCCGTCAATGATGTTGCCCGCCCGGTCGTACTGGACTTGGGTGAACATCTGCGCCTGCTCACTGAGGTAGCGGATGTTCTGCTCTATCCCGGCCATCAGCCGGTCAAAGTATCTGCCGAGAGCCGTGAGGGAAGAGCTGTCGAGCAGCAACAGGCCTTGGCTGCTAGCTCTGCTGGCGGCCCGGGAGCTCGTCGAGCCTCCGCCGGCGCTCCCGCCCAACGCTGCCTGACCTTGGCGCAGGAGCTGGATTTCCTCCGCGGTGAGGCCCAATTGCGTGTCCGGTACAGCGTTGGTCGCCATGGCGAGCCTGCGCGCAAGGCGCTCCGGCGCCTGGAATGATAGAAGCTGTCAAGTCGGCCGGCGACGAAAAGAGTGCGCACGGGGAGAGTGGCTGGTGACGTTGCGGCTATTGGGCACCGACGGATGACGTTGGGAGGGGCGTCGCGGCGGATTTCGGATGCGGGTGGGAGCATGAGGTTGCGAGCGGTGATTGCCTCTGAAATGGCGGCAGTCGTGCGCCGAGCATCATGGTAGTAGGGCAGCGATAGTGGCGAGGGCGATGGGCATGGCCGCAGGCAGCGCAAGCGAAGACGAAGACGAGGAGATGATGGGTTGAGTCGTGGTTTGAGCCGGGAAAAGCAAGCGGGCTGAAGGCTCCCGGCGGGATGTCCCAAGCTAAGCGCGGCTACGGGGGTTTGGCGCAAGCTTGGTCTGGGGACAAGGTATTAGAGCAGCCCTGTGATTGGAGAATGCAGCGGTGTAACCAGAGACGAGTCGGGCGGTTCGACGTCTCCGCGAGACAGGCAGCGCCAAGGTCGCCGTGCGAGAAGGTGAGAACCAGTGAAGGGCTCGCCCACTCGGCCTGCCTTCTCTTACGATGCGAGCAAGGCCGATGGCGATGATAGAGACGGTGCCCGGGGCCTCTTGCCGCCACTGTCCCGGCGAGGTGGTGTGAGAGTCGGGTAGCTCAAGTGGCCAGTCGGTCCATCTGGGGCATGTGGAGAGCTGTTGCAGCGGTTCGCGCAGGCACTGCAGGCGACTTGCAGCGAGTGGAACGGGCCCCTGTTCCTGCTTCCCTCGAGCGACGTCTTGCAGCTCGAACGGGGCCGGCGCAACGAGTCGGGCCTGACTGTGATCACCTGGCAGTGCTGCTTGGAGCCAGGCGGCCAGATTGAGGGTGGTTGAGGTCAAATGGTGCGCGGCGAGGAGGAGGAGGAGATGCAGGGAGGAGGTACAGGAGCACAAGGGGTGGAGGGGGGATTCCGACTCCCAGTCCCAAGGTTGATGGTGGTGGTGGTGGTCCTGGACCACGAACGAGGGCTGGAAGGAACGAATCGAGGAAAGGAGCGAAGGAAGGAACGGCGACGCGGACGGAAGGAACTGGACGCGGGGGGAGGGGGACGGAAAGAGGCAGGAGCGCTCCAAGACGGATCGGTGCGGTTGCCTTTCTATCCTTCGTTCTGGCGCTACCTGACCGACCCGGGCCGCTGGATCAAGGAAGGCGCTAAGGAGCGTCAGATGCCACGCGGGAACCAACGACCTTGCTCCTGGGCAGGCACCAGACACATGGACGACTTGCAACTTCCGTTTCTAAATTGCTAGGCGAGGGGACTTATTACCCGGTACAGTACGAGTATGCGAACTGTTGGCAGCAGCCACACGAACCGGTCGAGGCCGAATCCGACCAAGCATTCCGTGGGCACTCGTGTGCGCTGAGTCAGTCACTGCAGTGCCTGGCGCCGCCCCCCTCAGTCTGAGCACTTGCCTCTGTTGGTAGCTCTTCCACCCTCATAAACTCCCCCACCTCACTTACACGGGCGACCACAGGTCCTCTTCGCACAAAGACGCGGCAGCTTCACCTCTTATCAGCCATCGATCGACTCAGCCGCTCTCCTCCTGCCCCCGCGTCGAATTCCATACGCCGGGCGCCGCCGTCAAGGTTGCGACCGACGACAGGGCACAAGCCGGCGGGAGGGTGTGCGACGTGCATCGCGAACTGCTTAGCGCCGGCGGCGGCTTGATGGAGGAATGGAACATGGCCATCGCCGGCCGCCATCAACACCACCAGCCCGCGCTGCAACCACCACTCTATCGCAACATGATCACGAGCTGCCGTCATTGATCATTGGGGTGTGAACCCCTCGCTGCCCCTGCCGTTCCTCGGCCCCGTGCTTGCTTATCAGATATCACAGACATGGGAAGATGCTCACACCCACTGCGCCCCGCCCGCCGCCCGCGTCCGCCCGCATTTTCCCGCGTGCTGTCCGGATCACATCGGCGTGCCGTCTGCGTGCCGTCTGCGTGCCGCCTGCACCTCGTCTGCCGTCCCTGCATGCCTCGTCGGGTGCATTGCATGATGCATGCAGCAGATAGGCCATCGCTTTCTTGCCATGCTCTTGACAGCGGCCTGGTGCTGATGCCGGCCATGTTGCATGCATGTGTCTGTGTGTGGCGCATCTGTGCCACTTTGCGGCATCCTCGTGGTCCTTCAGCTCTCGCGTGCTCGCGGACTGATCGCTAGAGCTCCGATCACAACGATGCCTCGGCCGTGTCCTTGGGTTCAACACCAATATGGGATTGCCTAGATGCAAGCAGTCCTGATGTTGCTCAATCGTTTAATGCAACACAGAATCGGAGCTCGCAATGTGAAATCCGCGACTGCACTGCGTACTGTGAAAGTGCCTTAGCAACACGGCCGCGGGTGGCGTGACGTACGCTATGCTGTCCGGAGGCCAGACTCCCGTTCAAGCTCATGACAGAATTGCCGAGGCAAGAACGCTGCACGCCCATGCACATGCAGCATACTACCCGAGAATCGTTGCTTGGCATGCACTTCTGCGATCGTGCAGCCGAGGAATCGGGGCCGGCATTCCCGAGCTTGCTGGTGAATCTGTCCGTGGTTGTACCACCCGTTGTAAGGGATTACCTGCTGTCCGCTCGTCAAGACCTTGTGAGCCACTTGAACAGGGCATTAGGTTATGAAGCTCTGAATCGACTTCTTGACCTGTGACGGGCATTGTGCACAGAAGTCGAACTCGCTAATATCGACATGATAAAAGATTCGAACACGAGTAGTTTGTATGGAATCAGCTGACCAGGCTTCTTTCAACCTCACTCTAGGGATATCCCGGAAGATGATGGATGCCGCAGCGATAAAATCTATAACACGACTTCCAGTCCGAGCCTATACTGGTTCCATGATGCACAGCTGCTTATCACGCTTATAACCCTGACAAGCCCGCACAGATGCCGTTATGCAAGATAAGCATATAGATTATTCGGCATTAAGGCAAATCCCAACAGAACCAAATACGACGTCGTATCCAATCTAAGCATCGTTGTGCGTTCTATATGATCTTCCTGCCACCAGGAATAAGCTAACGCGAGCGAAAACAAGGTTCGCTCGGCGGAAATGAGGCGCCTCAACCCCGTATCTATTTGGAGCAGGTTCAAACTATGAACACTGGAGTTCCTTGGCTCCCGTCATGTATCTCGCACGTAAAGGAGCGGGTGAAGATGCCGCCAGCAACCCCGCGATAAGATGTCCGGACACTGCCCTTCGGCACCTTGTCTTAAGCGGCGTCTACTTTGGATCCCAGTGCATGATGGTGAGTGCCTCCCTGGAAACGACGAGACCTCAACCCAGAAGATACCCGGAGCCTTCCCACGGCTGCTCAGTGATACTTGCCACAGCTTTGTAGGCGGACTGACGTGATATCATGGAGATAACTCCCAATATGTCCGATGCCGCCATGGTGTAGTGTAGTACACGAAGGTGGTGGTGCATGAGGCCGTCCCAGTTTGTGCCCTATGAGCCGCGTTGACAGAGCTTACGAATACACAACCTCATGTATAGCGCCATGATGGACATATAGGCCAGCATCGGAACTGCCAGTGCATCCGACTCCGGCTGCTCATCTGATGCCCTTGCTCCATGACGTGCTCATCCCGAGTCCCCTCGCCACCGGCCTGATTATTTGATGATGACAAGTCGTCCAGACAACGAGATGAACCCGGATAAGCCCCTTCCCGCCCAAGGGCGTGTGTCGCGATGAACCCAAGTCCACGGGTGATCCTCGTCATGCGTCCTGCAAGGATATTCGTCATACAACCACTCCCCCTTTGCCATTTCTGCTGCAGTTCCCCCAGTTCGTCTCAACCACGTCCAGGGTTGACACAAGGAGGGGGGGTGAGGGGAGGAGAAGGAAGGGGAAGGGTAGATAAAGTTTCGCGAACAAAACACGATCAGCAGACGTTCAATCGGGCATGGGGGGAGGAGGCCCAGGGAAGGGCAGATCTTGGATGAAGAAGAGATCCCCGGGAACTTTCCAGCCCGTTGTCTCGACCGCCACGAAGGGGGCGAGCAAGCCAGACTTGGGACGTCTCAGTGACCTGTCACGGAGGGAGCGGCACATGCAAACATCCGGATCGACGACCGGGAAGAAGGGACCAGACCAGGAGGGCAACGACTGATCCTCTTACGACCGGGCACCGGCTGACGTACCACCACGGCAGCAGCACCCCTCTGTTCCCCTGTGACCGGTCTGATTCTCTCTGATCGAAGGCTGGAGGGGGGAGTGTTGACGATGATGCACTGCTTGCACATCACGCAGGGGTGTTCCGTGATATTTACATGTACATGCATGCGTGCAGGCGTGGTGCGTGTGCGTGTATAAGTGAGCAAGTAAGGAACTTCTCCCCAACAACAAGCCTTGTTTAACTGGGGAAGGGGGTTTCAATGCTGAGACGCGACGTAGAAAGGTGGTGAAACGACGAGGCTGAAGGAAAAAGAGTCGCGATCGCAGCAGGCATTGACATGGGCGCAAGGTGAAACGTCCCCCCGTTCGGCTCTTGGCACGTCTGGCACCTGTCTGGCACGCGCGTCAACTGCGTAGTACAACGCAGCCGGCACCACCCGGACAATGGGTATTTTTTTTTTTTTTTGCGTTTCAAAATTCGTCACTACGTTTGGAAATTTTCTTCTCTTCTTTACTTCTTTTGGGGTGCACGACAGTATTCCATCGTCGCCTGCTTCGGGCCCGGCTCGTTGCTGTCCCGTGTTGTTGGTTGGGCTTGTATGGTTCAAAACTTCAAACCAGACAACCAGCTATGTCGCCCCGCCATTGCCTACCCTGGTGTCGCTCGTCGCCGACGCCGCCGCTTCGGAGCCGAAACCCCTTATGCCGCGCAAAAGGACAACAAGGTCGGCGGGCAGGACTGCCGACGGCACCGAACTTTTGGTCCGTATGGGCCGGAAGCAGACGCTCCGGCGCGACGACAACGGCCGTCCGGTTTTGGCG